AAAATAATAATTATACAACCTTATATGTGTTATATAGTTATATATTTGAATTATAAAATAATACTTATAAAACCTTATCTATATTAAATAAATAAATAAAAAAAAGGATAATATGATTGTAAGTGAATTAAGTTAGGAATTATGATTACAAGTGACCACGAAATCTTTAATAAATAAAAACAAACAAATATACAGAGAAAACATTAAAAAATATATATTCGAACAAAAAGAAATAGAAGAAATTATTCAAACAAAAAATCAAAAGAAATATTAATAAATGTATTCAAAAAAAATATCAAAAATATTAGAAAAAATTATACGAACAAAATATAAAAAACGTAAGCGAAAAAATATTTAAAAAAAAACATTAAATAATATATTCGAACAAAACGTCAAAAAAAAAATTAAATCATAATAATATAAATAAGTTAAATAAAAATAATTATAAATAACAGATGATGTTACATAATTGGTCTCTATGGTTGGAATAAAGTACATAAATAGGAAGGACAAATGTATCATTTCATAATTAAAACGGTTGTTTTTGAAACCACAGAGACCATTTATGCACTAAATTTGTCATAAGGACCAGAGTTGATGAATTGTGTCAACCACAAGGACCATTTATGTAATTTTGTCTGGTTAAAATAAAACTTGTGGTAAAATTAAAAAAAAAAAAAAAAAAAAAAAAAAAAAAAAAAAAAAAAAAAAGAGTTTTACATAAGGTTCTTTTTCGTCGTTAAAAAAGATTTAGAGTAAGATAAGAACATTATCGCATGTATGTATATAATATACGCAACACTTCCTTTTTATGCCATTTATCTCTGTATGTATATAATATAGGCAACACTTCCTTTTTATGCCATTTATCTTTGAATGTCATAGTTATAATTTTGCATGTATATTTGTTCTAATAGGAGTATAAATTAAGAGGTTATATAATAAACGAATAAAGACACATTCTTAAATGTCCTTTTATTTTTATTCATAATTATCTTTCTATCTATTTGAAATGATAACAGATAATTTACTTATAATCATTTTTTTATCTTTTAATATAGATAAGGTTTTATAAGTATTATTTTAATTCATATATAACTATATAACACATATAAGGTTGTATAATTGTTATTTTTGCAGAGGTTTTCATATATATTTTTTGTAAAAAATATGTAGAAAAGTTTGTTAAACGTTAATATGATTAATATAAATTAGGTGCACACGGATTAACCTAAAATTATCTCATATTATTGACGATAGTGATCATATCATTTCACATTAGACTTAAATTTAGTATTTTCGAGTTTTTTAAATATTTTTAGACATTTTTTTGTTTTCGTTATACAAATTTCGATTAGCCTATGTATAATTTGGCATCGGTTTTGGATTCCGCTTAGCCTATCTATATTAATCATATACACATTTAACAAACTTTTTTATATTTTCTTTTAAATGTTTATAAAAAGCTTTACAAAAATAATAATTATACAACCTTATATGTGTTATATAGTTATATATTTGAATTAATAAAATAATAATTATATAACATTATCTATATTAAAATAACAAAAAAAGGAAAATATGATTCTAAGTTAATTAAGTTATGAATTATGATTATAACAACCATGAAATCTTTAGTAAATATAAACAAAAAAATTTAATAAAAACATTAAAAAATATATTTGAAAAAAAAAGGTCAAAAAAATTAGAAGAAATTATTCAAAAAAAATCAAAAGAAATATTAATAAATGTATTCAAACAAAACGTCTAAAAAAATTAGAAAAAAATATATGAACAAAATATTAAAAAAATATAAGTGGAAAAAAACATTAAGAAAATATTCAAACAAATCGTAAAAAAAATCTCAATCATATAAATATAAAAACATTAAATAATAGACAAAGTTACATAAATGGTCCTTATAGCTAGAGCAAATTACATTAATGGTCCCTATGTCAAGAAGGGCAAATGTGTCATTTCACAAGGGATTTAACTGAAAAAATTAAGATAGCTAGCTAAAAGTATTGTCCTTGCAAGATTTTAAAACCACAGGTACTTTCTATGCACAAAATTTGTCATAAGGATCAAAGTTGGTCAACTGTGTCAATTGCAAGGACCGTTTATGCAATTTTGCCTATAATAGAGGGAAAAAATATAAGAACAATACAACCACATAAAAATAATGGATTGAAAATTCATGTGATCACTATGGCATGATTTCAAGAAATAAAAGACATGAGATTTGGTACGGAGAAATTGGGCAACAAATTGCTGCAGTTAACAACCCAGAAATACTATGATGCGGTATACGAAATTTGAACCATGGATATATAGAAAGGACATGTTTGCCGGTAAAATGGAAAACCACTAATGATACACCCGTTTTCAGCTATAGATATTGAAATGGTTAGGACTATTATTTCGATGAAAAAAAGTAAATACTTCATGTTCTATGGATACACGAAACAAAAACATAACATGTGATATGAACCAACTTTGTTAGGGTATAAGTTCCAGATCATTGAATAAAGTGTTGAAATTAACCGGATCAAATGTATGTATGCTTATTAATGGTTAAAGTTAATGCGAATGGATTTTTCTTGTTGTGAAATAGAAGAAATATAAGGTATCAAGCCAAAGCTTAATGTTTTCTATTAAATAGAAACAAACGTTTACAAGATGGAGAAAATATGTTAAAATGAAGTTGATTACAAAGCTGGAAAGTTACATTTTTAAATAGCCTAATACAACTAATATTTAAATACAAGAAAATCCAAAGGTAATCAAACCATATCCTAAGAAAGTAGGGATAATGACTTGAGAGGGTAACATACTTTTGATTTTGATCACATTTGATCACTGAACTTTTTTTCGTGCTCTATTAACCCTTTAACTTGTTGATTTGTGCAAATTTTCCCCTTATGACCGGGTTTAGCCAGTTTTAAACGGTTTATTGATCCTACGTGTATTTTTTATCTTACGTGGCGAAAGAGGTGGCATGTAGGCCCCGATTTTTCGTCTCCGTCTCATTAAACCACACCCCGAAGTCTCATTTGGTCCTTAAACTCGACTAGGTCACAAAATTCTCCATCGATCATTCATCTCCTTCAACCGTTCTATGGCATCATCTCCAAATCCTACTGATCAGAACTTCATTGTAGTGGATTTCCACTACAATGGTCAGTTTGCACCCAATCCCTTAGTTTACTTTGATCCCGACAGAGCATCAGTGCGAGATGTTGACTTCAGTGGGTTTGGGTATGAGCAATTCATGGAATTCCTTCACAAGCTCACCAAATCGAGAAGCAAAGACATCTATTTCTGCCTTCCACAAGAGTCTTTAGGTCTTGGAATTCATACACTGGTGAACACGGTGATTACAAGGAATTTTTGGATTTGGCGTATGCTAATGACAAGAGAATGAATGTATATGTGGATCACCATAATGAACCTATCTTCGACTGGATTGAGGCTGAGGAAAGTGAAAGTGAAAACGAAGACTTAGATGAAGATGAGGATTCAGTTATTCAAGATTCATATTCTGTTGATCATGAAGAAGATGATGCTACCTATCCATTTCCAGCAAACAAAACTGCACGTGATAGATTTTTAAACATCCTTTGTGAACCTATAGAGAGTGAAGATCAAGATGATGAATACGTGCCACCCCAGTACCCTGTGTATGATGAGAGACAGCCATGGGATCAGATGAAACCAATTATAGGTATGCGATTTTGTAACCCTACTGAGCTTAAACATATGTTAAGCAATTATGCAGTTGCTAATGGGTATGATCTATGGTTTGAAAAAAATGACTCTGATAGATTGTTAGTGAAATGTTGCAAAAAGAATAAGTCACCATCTTGCCCTTTCAGACTATGGGCCTCCTGGATGGGTAAAGAAAAGACTTTTCAGATCAAATCTCTAGTGAATGAACATAATTGTTGTAGGGTGTTTAAGTTTGGGTCAATTGTAACTTATAGATGGATAGGGAAACATTTTATGAGTCAAATTATAGAGAACCCAAAAATGAGTGCAAGGAAGATGAAAGCTAAAGTGTCAACAACATTCAACATAAATGTGAGTGTGGGGCAATGCAGAAATGCAAAGAAATTTGCATTACAAGAGATTGAAGGAAGTTTAATTGAACATTATGGGAGATTGTGGTCATATGGTGAGGAAATTATCAGGTCAAATCCTGGGTCTACTGTGAGATTGGATGTAGACATCATGCCAGATTCCACAACTTTGTTTTCTAAGTTTTATGTGTGTTTCAAAGCTGTAAGGGATGGTTGGTTAGAAGGGTGCAGGCCTGTAATTGGGCTTGATGGTTGCTTTTTAAAGGGTATAGTTAGAGGAGAAGTTATTTCAGCTGTTGGGAGAGATGCAAACAACCACATCTACCCTTTAGCATGGGTTGTGGTATGTGTTGAGAATAAAGAAACATGGAAGTGGTTCATAGATTTGCTTATGGATGACATTAATGGTGGTCTTGGTGCAGGCATTACCCTTCTTTCTGATGGACACAAGGTTAGTACTAGGTCATTTTTATGCTTCATTTTTATGCTTTTTCACTCATAATGATGTTGTGATTTGTAGGGGTTATTACAAGCAGTTAAGGAAAGATGTCCAGAAGCTGAACATAGACAATGTGCTAGACACATTCTGGCCAATTTTAATAAAAGGTTTACTGGTCAACAATACATAAAGTTATTTTGGAGGGCTGTAAGGGCTAGTACTGTGGAGAAGTTCAGAGGTGTAATGGAGAACATCAAATCTATTGATACTCATGCTTATGATTACCTTATAGACAGAGATCCTACTACCTGGTCTAAGGCATTCTTTCAAGAAGGAAGAGACTGTGATGCAGTGGAGAATGGGGTCAGTGAGAGTTTCAATTCTGCTATTAGGCATGCTAGAAGGAGACCTATAATCACTATGCTGGAGGAGATTAGGTTATTTGTGATGGAAAGGATATACACTCAAAGAGTTGAAGGAATGGAATGGGATTTGCTTATATGTCCAACTATTAGGAAGCGTATAGAAGATCTGAAGGTTAAACAGAGGTAATTATTTTACTTTAATATGCTTATGTTAATTATGAGGATGTGTTATTGATTCACTGATGTTAATATGCTTAAACAGATTGTGGGGAGTTACTCCTTGTGGTTATCAAAAGTATGAGGTTAGATTCACTGATGTTGCATATGGAGTGGATCTAATTGCAAAGAAGTGTGCCTGTAGAATATGGCAACTTACAGGGATACCATGCTTACATGGAGTGGCAGCAATATCTTACTTAAATCATGATGCTGAGGCATATGTGTCCCAATCATACACTACTGAGGCTTACCTAAAATGCTACAAATATAGCATTAATCCTCTCAATAGTAGTGAAATGTGGCCAGATGTTCCATACCATAAGCCTTTGCCTCCCAAAAGAAGAAGATTACCTGGTAGGCCATCTGTGAAAAGGAAGGGGATGCAATTGAACGAGAGTTGAGTGGATGAAGTAGACAAACTGTCTCAAGAAGGGGTAGCATAATAAAGTGTGGTATTTGTAAGGAACCAGGTCACAACAAGAAAAAGTGTCCATCTAACCAACAAAGCAATACATCAGGTGAATATTTTTAAAACATTACATCATTTGAACAAAGAATTGACATTTTAATTTTTGTTTGCAGTACCAAGTTCATCCAGGGGCAGTGGAGCAGACCCAAGTTTATCCAGGGGCAATGAAGGACCACCACCTCCTCCACCACCACCTGCAGCCCCCATGCCAAGAAGAAGGGTCCCAGTTAGTAGAAGTGGAAGGAGGAAATATTCTGAACGGATTATCAAACAAGCATTAAGGAGGCAGATACCTGGGGTTGGGAGCAATGCAGATAACCCTTCAGTTATTGATTAATTTAGGGGATAATAGTGGGTGGGTAGGAATATCTTTTGTAAGGCAGTTGTGATGTAAAGACAAAGTAGTAGTCTTTTTATTATGCTTTTCTATGGTACTATCAAGTAGGTGTATGGGCACATGGTGGCCCTTCTTTTGTCTATGCAGGAATCTTTTGTGTTACCTAGAAACTACTTTTGTGTATGCAGACAAAAACTTATATAACTGTAGAATATTAATGGCGTATTACAATGAATCCAACCACCACATTCACTTACTTTTTTTATTATATGTATTTGTTATATGTATGCTACTTTGTGATTCCATTCCAGTCAAAACTAATTCTTTATATGCATGCTACTTTGTGATTCTATTCCAGTCAAAATCAAATATGTATTCATTGTTATATGTATGCTTCCTTATGATTCCATTCCAGTCAAAAATATTTCTTGGTGATTCCATTCCAGTCAAAGTTACTTCATTCCATTCTTTGTGATTCCATTCCAATCAAAGTTAATATGTATGCAGTTAATATGTATGCTTCTTTATAATTAAATTTTCCATTACAATCAATGTTACTTCATTCCATTCCAACAAGAAGTTAAGATAACAACTCTATTCTATTCAAACAACATCTTTCAATACATCATGTGACTTCATTTCATCATATACACGATGATCAGAAAAAGAAATCCAATGGTAAACTTATATATTTTCTCCTTCATTGCAATGGCATCAGAGTACTTTTCCTTCTTCATCTGTTCCATGTCTTCCTTCACCTTCTCTACTTCGGTCTTCAATGCTACTAATTCAGCTTTCATTCCCTCCACCACTTCCATCAGAGGCATCTGTACAAGTTCTACATCCAACCATTTCCAATATTTGCATTTACCCTTCCACAATAAAATTTCAAAGTGAGATTTCAAATCTGGAATAAATGAATCAGAAAAGAGGGAAATTTAAGTGAAATCGCTTACCTCATTGCACACCATGAAATGCCTCCCTGGATTCTTTGGTGTTGTTGATGTTAGAATACGTGCAGGGAACCCACAATCACAAGTTTTTGGATCATTCACTGTGGATTTCTTGCTTGATCGATTGAGGGAGGATGAGATGTTGTAGGAGGAAGCCATCGGGTATTAGGGCAACGGGATATTAGAGCACAATAAATGAACAACAAACGCCCCTCCTTTAATAATAAGAACCCTAGATGCCACGTAGGATCAAAACTGACACGTAGGATCAATAAATTCATTGAAACCGGCAAAAACCAGTCGGAAGGGGAAAATTTGCACAAATCAACAAGTTAAAGGGTTAATAGAGCACGAAAAAAAGTTCAGTGACCAAATGTGATCAAAATCAAAAGTATGTTACCCTCTCAAGTCATTATCCCTAAGAAAGTAATAGCTAGGGTGTGGTCTCTTATATATGTCCACTACATAAAATAACATGTTAGGTAACACAAATTGCTCTACATGGATATGTATAGGTTATACAATTAACATCAAATTGATTTATATGGGTATGTAATACAATTACTTAGGCTGAAAGCAATAATATGTTGTTTATTAAGTGAATAAAATGGAAATTAATTAGATTGATTTATTATTTATTAAATTGTTGATAAATAATTAGAAATTAATTAATGAGAATTAAGTAATTATGCCTAAATAAGTTATATTAGGTCTTTTGAATAACTAATGGATGGTTCTAAAGAATTATAACTAAAGATTAAAATAATATTATCCTTGATTGGAGAAGGCTTACAGAGTTATGCTCGACCAAAAACCCTAAAATATGGTCCTTAAAATCATTTATTCTTCCCTTCCTTTTGAGTTCGACAAACCATAGAAACCTTCAGTGTTTTTTTTTTTTTTTGCTCAAAATCCTTTGGTTTCAATATATAGGGTTCTTGTTTGCTTGGAGAACAAGAGGTGTGACACAATTACAGGGACTTAGGTTTGGCTCCCCTTGATCTTCCTAAGAAATGTTAAAGGTAATTCGTAAACCTTTTTTTAGGATTAGGGTTGCTACTAACAGAAATAATCATGAACCACGGTTTAATCATAAGTGTTCTTGTTTTGAATGCTTCAGATCCTATACGATTCGACTATAGGATGGATACTATATGGCATGATATGTGTGTGACCTAATTTATCATTTGCCTTAAGCATGATGATTCGATATCAGGCCAATCCTCGAGAAGCCCACTAGATGGAAGTCAAGAGCATTATTAAATATTTGAGGAGACCAAAGGATATGTTCTTGATATATGGTGGTGAGGAAGAACTTGGAGTATAAGATTACTATAATGCGAGTTTTTTAACTAACATAGACGATTCCTACTCTCAGATAGGATTCGTACTCTTCTTGAATGGAGGAGTTCCAAGCAAAGCATCGTAATGAACTCAAAAATGGAATCTACATATATAACAGTAAATGAAGTTGTTAAAAAAGCTATGTAGATGAAGAAGTTAATCAAAGATCTTGTGTTGTTCTCAACATAAAAGATTCCATATGCATTTGTTGTGACAACGAGGGTGCAATAGCTTTATCCAAAGAAACCATGCCACATAAACGCACGCCGCATATACTCATAAAATTGATGGGTTTTGTAACACCTGGTTCCTGGTACGTAAAAATTTATCTAAGTATTTGTCATTTTAGCCTTGGAATCGGCGAGTTGTAGGTCTGACTCGCCGAGTAGGGACGCGGTCCGGGGGCACGCTTAAGTTAGCGACTCAGCGAGTCCATATTCTGGACTCGGCGAGTCACCGCTGTTTGATGAAACCCTAAATTTCAAGGGTTTGCACCCTATTTAAACCCTCATTTCCGCCCCAAGCTCGCCCCCATTCACCCTCATAGCCCCCAACATCGTTTTTGCCTTTTTCCTTGTGTGATTGAAGTGTTTTGGGTGTGTTCTTGAAGTTTTTGAGGAGAAAGAAGAGTAGATCAAGAAGAGAAGAAGGAGGCCAAGCTTACTGGTGTTATATCAGTGATTTCCTTGAGGTATAACTCATTTTGCCTATGTTTTTATGCTTGTCGTCCCTTGTAGCTCCATGAAAGTCTTTCTTGAGCCTTTCCCTAAGCTTGTTTGTGTATTAGAGTGGATGATAAGTTGTTTAGCCTCTAGATCTAGGCATGATTGAGCTCTAGGAGCTTGGATCTACTGCCTTTATGGAATCATAGTGCATGTAAGCCCTAGATCTACCTTTTTGGTGCATTTTGAGCACTAAAACTCTCATGGATGTTTATTTACATGTAAAGTTGGAAACTTTACGTGTAAAACAGGCCCTAGGAACCCAGATCTATGAATGGCATGAGCTGGATCCAAGCAAAATCGCATGTATAATTTTTGCAGGTGGCCGACTCGGCGAGTCGTTCATCTGACTCAGCGAGTCGGGTCACGAGTCCCAGGGTTGTTTCCTTTTGTGTTTGCGAGTTGGAGTAGTGAGTCATAGGGTATGACTCAATGGGTTGGAAGCCAGACTCACTCATGAAGTCACTCGAAGAGTCAGTACCATGACTCGGCGAGCTCATGGCAATCTTCTTGTCTCAAGAACAACTTGACGAGTTGTTCATACAACTCGGTGAGTCACAGCTTAGAGTGTTCTTCGGATGAAGGCAAACTCGGCGAGTTGTTCATACAACTCGGCGAGTAGGAGGAAGGACTATTAGACTTGGGTATAGAGAAAGGGACTCAGCGAGTTGGCAAGCCAACTCGGAGAGTCTGGTCAACTGGCAGTTGACTGTGACTTGGCTCACGACTTGATAAGGGTAAATGGACAATTTACCCTGAGGGCGGTTAGCAGTATTTGACTAAGTGTTTGGTGGGAATTACAGTCGGAGGATTTCCGGAGCAGTAGCAGCAGACAGACTATTCCCACACAGATCAGCAGCTACTACGAGGTGAGTTACCTTCCAGTAGCGGTGGGTCTACGGCCACAATGTCGGCCCACCAGTAGCAGTTGTATGATGGATGATTGTCTCTGTGATATTCATCTAAGGTTGCTACTACCTGTGATATGTTTATGTGCTAGTATGATATGCTGCTATGTGCTAGTGACAGTAGGGGGAGATAGTCCCCAGATTACTGGTTGATAGGGCCGAAGGGGCGGTCATGCCCAACCATGCTAGATAGATTATGAGATATGTGTGTTATGTGGTAGTAGTAGGGGGTGAAATAGTCCCCAGTATCCGGTCGAGAGGACCGAAGGGGAGACCAGCACCCAGATATGCTATTCAGTATCCGGTCGAGAGGACCGAAGGGGAGGCAAGCTCCTAGTATGCTAGATAATATTCGGTCGAGAGGACCGAAGGGGTAGGTCGGGCGCCCAGATATGTCTGACGATATATGCATGTTATGTGATTGTGTGGTATGTGGTACGTTGGGAGAACTCACTAAGCTTCGTGCTTACAGTTTTCAGTTTTGGTTTTAGGTACCTCTTCTTCGAAGGGGAAAGAGTTGGCGCGGTAGCGGCCCATCACACACATGCTCCGTATTCCGCATCATGAGATCTTCCTGGGGATTTGTACTCTGACATTATTATGTTTTATGAAATGTTTTCCAAACATGCGTTCTATTTATAAAATGTTATGATCAGTAAACGTTTTAATTCGAATGTTTTACCAAATATATGTTTTTAAAAAATGAAATTTTTGTCTCGTATTTTTTGGGTGTTACAAGTTGGTATCAGAGCCCTGGTTTGAGGGATTCGGACACACCTTCGGGGTGTTTTAACTCAAATCGATGGATTAAAAGATTTTGGAAAGAGAAAAAGGGTTTTAATAAAGAACAAAGTGTGTGATGTGTGCGACCGGCCGAGCTCAAGTAAGTATTCCCCAATGTACCCATACGAGTTTATTTATGTTTATCAGTTTCTGTAGAACAACTTGCTAGAATAGGACTAAGGATCTAGGAGTGATGCCTTATGTACCTGCTTTATGTGCTTCAGTATATGAAAGAGTTGCATGCTAGAGTTGAGTAGACAGCAGTAGGGTAGCCTGTTTAGGTTATTCCT